CTGTGCTGCCTCTCTTTCAGAGTTCAACCTGCTTGGGTTGTTTGCTCAGGTCTGCCTTACCTGGCCTTTCTTCTCACTGCCGTCGAGTTGATTCCGACACTTGGGGACCCCATGGGACAGGCTAGAACTGCCCCGTGGGGTTCTGAGATGAACTCTTGATGGGCAGCAGCCTCGTTCATAGCCCCCTCGGCCACGGGGGCTCCTTGGAGACTGTTTCTGTTTATGGGGGTAGAAAGCAGCCCAGACATTGCTCCTTCGAGTACACTTCCGTAACACCTCAAACTCCTCCGTCGCGGTCTCTTTTGTTTTTCTCCTTTAAATTTCATTTATTTTGTCATTGCTGGAAATCTCTATAGGAACACAGCCACCAGTGAGCCCTTCCCAGATGTGCCATTGCGTGCCATGGTGACATACATTCTTGGAGTTGTGGAACCATCTCATCTTCTCTGAGCGGTTTCTCCCCTCGTTATGATAAACGCACTGCTTGCTAAGCTTTCTGTCATCTTTTGAGTGTCTTGTCAGTTAGAGCCCATGTAAATAGCTGTAAAGGAGTGTAACACTCAAAAGGCACACCCAATAAGTAATTAACAGTCATGCCCTCTTTCTTTGTCTGCGGCGGTTGTTAGTCTAACACATGACTTTCGTGAATTCAGCTTTTGACAGGTATGCAGCTTAGTTAGAGCAATGACAATAATGACCGTACCACCCGACCCTTCATCGATGCAGTTTTCCCATCACCATTAGCTTGCTTTCTACCGTGCCCTTCTGTTCCTGGTAACCACTTCTGAACTGCTGCATCTGTGAACCCACACCGAGCCCACTCCTACTGGGCATCTGCGTCTCGTATAGACCCCATAGGGCCGAGTAGAGCAGCAGCCTTCTCTTTCTCCCTGGGACTGTCTGGTGGGTGTGAGCCGCCCACCTTGCGGTTAGCGGCCCAACACGGAAAAGACCCAGTGCCACACCTGCCTGTTCATATCTTTTTACGTCAGTGAGCTCAGTCCATGTTTACCTTTGTGTAGTTGACCCGCCGCACTCAATACGCTGTCTTCAGCCCTGTCCGTCCGTAGTGTAGCAAGCATCAGGACTTCATTTCTCCTGCTGGCTGAGTCCATTCTGTGTGTGGAGCCCTGTATTTATTCCACTGTCTCTTGATGGGCATTTAGGTTGGTGCCACCATTTGGCTATTGTGGATGGGCTGCAGTGAACTCGAGTGTACAAGTTTGTCCTTGAGTCTCTGCTGTTGAGTCTTTGGGGTATGTCCCTGGGCGTAGAATTGCTGGGTCCTATGGTTGTTCTATTTTCAGTCCTTTGAAGACCCGTCATACAGTTTGCCACAAGGGCTCTACCCCTTTACCTTCTCAGCAGCAGGGAATAAGTCTTCCCATTTCCCCACATGCTCCTCATCTGTTTTTTCTTTTAAACAAATCTCCGCCATCCTAGTTGGAGCGGTGGGATACCTCATTGTGGCTTGTGTTTGCCCCTCTCTGCCAGCACAGCAACCTCTGCACTTAGTGAAGGAACAACAACAACAACCCAAAACGGTGAAACAGACCTCTAACTTGACTCGCCCGTGATCTCCTTTGCCCTTCATTTTACAGTCCTCCTATGTGTTTTCTTGTCATTTCAGAGGGTTTTGGAAAATGATGAAAATGTAGAAGAAGGGAATGAAGAAGAGGATTTAGAAGAGGATATCCCCAAGCGAAAGAACAGGACCAGAGGACGGGTAAGTTGGGAAAGTGGGAGGGAGGATGAGACCAGGCAAACAATGGAGCCTTATGTTCAAAGTGCCCACAACTAGATTGAGATCATGTCCATGGCATTATCTGAAGAGCACTCAGAGAGGAACACTCCAGAAAGCTCTGCCCCAAGGGCATGTGGGGAGAAGAGTTTAGTGCTGTGGAGAGGGAGCAGGGGCAGAGTGCCTTCCTGAACCCATAGTGCAGGTCAGGAAAATGTTGAAGAGGGTGGCAGGGTTCGGGTGGAGACGGAGAAGATGGGGTTTGCTATAAGCATCAAACCGTTGCTATGGAGTTGATTCTGACTCATGGTGACCCTGTGTGCGTCAGAGTAGTGCTGTGCTTTATAGAATTTTCAGTGGTTCATTTTTTTCATTTATAAATCACTGGGCCTTCCTTCTGAAGTGGGTCTGGGTGGTCTCGAACCTCTAACCATTTGGAAAGCAGGGAAGTGTGCTCACTCTTTGCACCACCCAGGGGCTCTTTGTACCCATTGTCGTCATTGTTAGGTGCCATCAAGTGTGGTTTCGACTCATCTCGACCTTTTGTATGACAGAAGGCAACACCGCCTGGTCCTCAGCTCTCCTCACCGTTGTTCTTAACATGTGAGCCCATTGTTGCAGCCACTGTGCTAATCCATCTGGTCGAGGGTCGCCCTCTTTTTCACCTCCCCCCTTCTTTACCAAGCATGATGTCCTTCTCCAGGGACTGGTCTCTCTTGGGAACATGTCCAAAGTACGTGAGACAAAGTCTTGCCATCCTTGCCTCTATGGAGCATCACGACCCTACTTCTAAGACAGAGTTGGGTGCTCTTTTGACAGTCTGTAATGTTTTCGGTATTCTTCGGCAGCACCATAATTCAAATACACCAATCCTTCTTCGGTCTTCCTTCCAATGTCCAGCTGGCACATGTATGTGGGGCCATTAGAAATGCCATGGCTTGGGTCAGGTGCACCTTAGTCTTCAAAGTAACAGCCTTGTCTTTCAACACTTTAAAGCGGTCTTGCGCAGCAGATTTACCCCTGATCTGCTTGATCTCTTGACTGCTGTTCCCACAATCATTGATTGTGGACCCAAGAAAGATGAAATCCTTGACAGCGTCAATCTTTTCTCCATTACTGGGTCATAAAAGAGGCGGATAGTTTCTTGTGTGGTTGTCCTGGGGGCTGCCCCACAGGGAGTGGCAGAATACCTGAGCTGAGCTGGCCAGAGAGTAGGCACATGCTGCCATAGCATGGGGGCAGGGGGTAGGGTGGGGGTGGAGTGGAAGAACTACTGAATTTCCAAGCATTTTTAGAGTTTCATGCATGGTCCTGGAAGGTGGCAAGGGAAAGGTCACAAACTGGGGAGACCACCGAGGGGAAACTGATGGGGAAGAAATGAAGACCAGAGATGGTCTCCGCAGGAAGGGAACCAGCCTGTGGTGCTTTGGGGCATTGGTCCCCCAGAGCCCCTGTGTTCAAGTTTTCTGTGGCCACCTGTAGGGCTCTGCGTGGACATTTGACCACAACCCGATGGAGAGAGGCCACCTGTAGGGCTCTGCGTGGACATTTGACCACAACCTGATGGAGAGAGACTTCAAGAGGGAAGCTGCTACAGTCCTCTTGGTAACTAGTCCCCTTTTGCCTGAGGGGTTGGGTCTTTCAGGCTCTAGGCAAGACCCTTACTCCCCCGTGGCTCTCCCAAGCCTCCCGTGGCTCTCAGGTTAATCCTTCAGCCAGTGATAATTTTGGCAAGCCTTTCTACTCCTGTGGGCATCTCCACCTCAGTGGAATAGTCTCTGAAGGATGGCTCCTGTAACAAATGACCATAGACCGAATGGCTTAAATCAGCACACTTATTCTCCATGGTTCTGGAAGCAGTTGTCTTTGTTAGGCTTTGACACATTGGTTCTGGCTCTAGCAGCCCTGTGTACACAGAGTGAAATATTGCCTGGTCCTTCACCATCCTCATCTCAGTAGGCTGTTTGGGACAGTTGTCAACTCATCTCCTGGAGGGCCTTCCTCTCTTCCACGGAACCCCCCCTGTGCCAAGCATGGTGTCCACTCCAGGGACCGTCTCTCTGGATACTGTGTCCGAATTAAGTTAGACAATGTCTCATCCTCTTTGTTTCTAAGGATTACTTCCAATCACTTCGTATGTACACGAGAGCCAGACCATGAAGAATAAGACCACAGGAGAATGGGTGCCTTTGCATGATGGCATCGCTGACGAATATCGAACATGCCCTGGACTGCCAGCAGTGTGAATAAAGCTCTCTTGTGGAAGAAGGATCGCAGCCTGTTCCTTAAAAGTGAGGATGGCTAGAATGAGTCTCATGTTCTTTGGCCATACTGTCAGGAGGGACAAGTCCCTGGAAAAGGCTATTGATTGTGCTTGGTGAGGTTGAGGTTTGGTGAAAAAGAGAAAGCTCTCAATGCGATGGGTGGACACAGTGCTTCTACAGTGGGTGCAAACACAATCATGAGTGAGGGGGGGGCACCGAATAATCACATCACCTGCAGAACGAACCCATCAGTCTGCGGCAAGTCCAGCCAGCGTGCTCTTAGAAGTGACGGTCTGGTGGCCAGGAGTCCCCGAGTCAAGGGCTCAGCGGGGCTGCTCCCTGCTGGAGAATTGGAGGGAGAATCTGCCCCATGTCCCGCTCCTATCTTCTAGGAAGGACCGGCAGTCTTTGGAGTGCCTTAGTTTGTAGGCGGATGGATTGGCGTGATCTCACGCCAGTCTCTGCCTCTCTCTTCCTAGGGTGCTCTCCCTGTGTCTCTGTTTCTGTGTCTCTTCTTATAAGGACATCAGACATTCGAGTAGAGTCCACCCTGAGGACCTCATATGAACTCGGCTATGTCTGCAAAGGTTCCTATTTCCATATTTCCTTTATGTCTTGAAAATTGATAGCTTACAGATTTATTTAGATTCAGGATTGTGTATGCAAACATGATTGTGTGTGTGTGTATGTGTGGTGGCAAGTGAGATGGATTTAGAAGATGGGTGCCCAGATGGATGGGTTTAGAAGGCCAATATTGTCCAATTGTTCTGCTTTAACAGTAATCGCATTGACCAGTGGGTTTGGCTGTGGGAGCCCTGACTCCGCCCTCATAGAGATCCCCATCAACTCCTCACCCAGTTGGTGTTAGCAGACATCGATGAACTTGCCTAGACCCATTTCTTCCTTAGGGGTTACAAAACTGTGACTTTCCAATTCCGTCATTAAAGGAGACTGTGGAACTTGGAGTTCAGGCACTGCACACCTCCCGTTGTGCTTCTATTGTTTCCTTCAACCCAAAGCCAGTTTCCTAGAGCAGATCCTAGGAAATGGTCCACTTTACATCTTCTCCACCCCCAACCTCAATCAAGATGATTGGGCTCACCGCCAGTGCATGCTAATGAGGGAGCTCTTTGTAAGAGCACGGCGGAACAGCAGCAGCCATCCTTTACGGAGCCCAGACTGTACACCAGGCAACGTGAAAGGGCTTCTTACAACAATAGCCGCAGCAGAGAACATGGTGACCTTGTCCTGGGTGCTTTACCCTATACCATCTCGGCTTGTCCACTCTTCATCACGACGGTCCAGGCTCCGTATGGCCCGGGAGCACTGGGAATGGAACTGGGCCAACTTGAGGTGTAAAATGCACACTGGCTTTTAAAGGCTTAGCATGAAGAAATAAACAAAAGAATATGAACTATCTCATTAAAAATGTTACCATGTCGAGTACACACTGAAATGCTATTTTCAGATCTGTTGGGTTAAATAAAATGCTTTATGCAAATTAATGCCCACTTTAAAAATAAACTTTATTTTTAAAAGATATGCTGGCATATTTAAAATGGCACACGTGGCTCACAGTATATTTCTATAGGTCAAGGTGACTCGCTTTGTTACCCTCACTGGTCCCTAGGAGGTGAAGGAAATTGCTCAAGGACTGCTCCCTGGAGGCAAAGGCCACCTTACCAAGGGAGGACAAAGTGAGCTTTGAATGTAGGTCTGTGCTCTTTCGGCTGCCCACCGTAGTGCCTGTCCCAGTGCCTAGCATGGAGCCAATGACCAGCGTGTTGAAAAAGAATGGAAGGATGGGGAGTGAAATAAAAGCCCTATTTCAGCTGTCCAGGAGCTGAGAGAAGGCCTGAACATGAGGAGAAGGATGGTGAACCTAGACCAGCTCCAGCCTTCCTGATGTTGCCCAGGGCTGCGGAAGGGCTTTATGGTGTGCAGTGGTCTTGGGCATGGGAGGGCCTGGAAGGGTGTGGGTGAGTGTGCCTGTGCTGGAGGAAGCGTGAAACTGCTACATCCACTCCCAGCTAAGCTGCCTGTGTTGTTAGCTGCTGGAGACTCGACAGGGCTGCAACACCGCCCTGTCCTGTGCCATCCGTATGAGCCATCGCAGTCCTGACCCTCGTGATCTATAGGGTTTCCGCGGACTTACTTTCCCAGGTAGATCAGCAACTCTCTCTTCTTAGTCTGGGTTAGCACAGAAGCTCTCTGACCCACACAAGCCGCCACCGACAGACAGATGGTGGCTGCAAATGAGGGACGTTGGCCAAGGATCAAACCCAAGGTTGTCCCCTGGAAGGGGAGGGTTCTACCACTGAGCCCCCACCCAGACCGGCCCCCACAAGCTGTCTCTTGCCCACTCATTAAAGTGGGCTGTGCAAGCCGCTGCTGGTAGTCCCTGGAGGCTAATTTCTCATTCTGTTGTAAGGATTGAGATGCAGTCAGAGGTCATCCCCCCTCCCCCCGCAAAGTGAAAGTCGTGGACTACAGCTTCAGCCTCACCTAGGAGCTTGTTGGACACTCAGGAGCCTAGGCCCCGCTCTAGACGGACTGGCAGGGCAGGACGCCCTCAGGGATTGGGGTGCGCAGTGAAGTTGGACGATCCCCGCCCCGGAGTTGAAGGAGCCCCGGCGCCCCGTGTTATCTGCTAGGAACAGAACTGCTGGCAATTCCCACCCGCAGCCGCTCTGGGGGGAACCCTGTGGCCGTCTGCTTCCA